GACATTTTGGGGTATGGTTAGCTGCCATTGAGTTAGACCCTAAAACAGAGGGACCACCTGTACAATAGAATCACATATGGTCCTGCCATCTGCCTGATTGATGGTGGATCCAATACCTGTGATCTATACAGTTTGCATTGACTGATTTTCAGAAGTAAATTTCCAGATTTTTCTTCCAAGTCCATCTTAGTTTGTAAGCTCTGCTGAAACTTATTTGGGATCATGGAAACATACATGTCTCCACTGACAGATGGATGGTGACTATGCTGGGAATCAAAACTGGGGTCTCCTGCATGGAAGATGAGAATTCTACCATTAAACCTCTGGGGGAAAGAGGTGGTGATAATCTAAGTTATCAAAAAGCCCTCTAGAAAATTCTAGAGCAGTGGTTCTCAATCTTCCTAATGCCGTGACCCTTTACTAGAGTTCCTCATGTTGTGGTGACCCCTGAACCATAGAATTATTTTAGTTGCTACTTCATAACTGTAATTTTGCTACTGTTATGAGTCAGGCAACCTCTGTGAATGGGTCATTTGACTCCCAAAGGGGTCGCGACCCACAGGTTGAGAACTGCTGCTCTTGAGTGTGAGCTGTTGGAGCGGGTTACTTGCCAGTGAGAAGCTAGACCAAAACTGTTAAAAAACCAAAAGCAAAACAAAAGAAAACCTGAAATTGCTCTTATGCGGTTTCCTTTCTCACTGTTTGTGGAAGAAGGAAGGGCATGGTGGTAATACACTTTTAAAGAAGTTTGGCCAGAGGACTGATATGGGAGTAATCAAAACATGCATAAAAATAAAAATCAATTCCAATATTGATTTGTAAAGTTAAAAGGGGGAAAACATCACTTCATTTTCAGCCTGTATAAGAAAGATGACATGTTTCAACAACTCCATCGGAAGTCAGTTCTGCCATAAGTGAAAGTGGAATATATCTTTTTGTAAAAAAGTTTTCATTATTCTTGCCTTTTGTTACAGATATCTTTGTACATTTGATCCTTGAACATTTGAGAATATTAACTTGAGCAGTTATGGGCTGCAATGTTGCAATATGATTAGATATACAAAACCCAAATAAGCAACAACCCCACACACACCAAACTCCCAAGCAAACAGAAAAATCACCCAGATGGCCATAAGTTTGATTCATTGTAATGAACATGTCAAACATGTCATAAGTTGGAGACTGAGCTAAGGAGTTTGAGCATAGCTCCCCATAGGCTCAAACCCTGAGTTTGATCTTTAATGGGAGGAAGAAGTGACCAGATTTTTTTTTTTTTTTAGAATGCCAACTCCAGTGGCAGTTTTGGAGATGGTTTGGTGTGAGGAAGAGGCTGGATGCAGAGAAATAGAGTGAGTTGTGGCTCTGGTTCCAGCGAGCCTAGGGAGTAGGATCAGTGTGGAGGGCCAGGGTTCTTCCATTCTGTCCCTACACCACCTCTTCAGGTTCACTTCCAGCACCCACCTGCTTTGTGCTGCACTTGTTCCTGAACATCTCAGCATTCCAGATGGTTCCAGTCATTCACACGTAGCTGAGTTGACACCCCTCTCTTATTCCAGAAATGATTTGTAAGCGTCTCTGACGATCCACCTCAGCTTTCTTCACCTCTGATCCCCAGAGTGGAGTCCTTTGCTCTATTCTCTGCTTTCCCACATCTACCTTTTGTTCATATTTTTGTTATAGATTATGTATAACTTCTGAATTATCTCCCCCCCTATTAAATTATGAATTATCTGAAGAAGATAATCTGCTCCCTAGCTTATCTAGATGGCTTCATTATATGGGTTGGAAGGTAAGAAGCATTTTATCCAACACACACTTTTGAGCATCCACTTTGTCAAAGAAACTTTTCTAGACATGAAACAGTGAGGGCCTCTGCTACACTGAGCTTGAATTCTAAAGACGGAGATAGAGAACACCAGTCGTTAATATCAACTAAGGCAGGGAGAACAATAAAGCAGGGGATAAGGGATAGGGAGAGACTGTTTTCAGGGGTGCTGTCTTATTCAGAAACCCCCCGGGTGGTTCAAACAGTTAATGTGCTGTGCATCTAATTAAAGGATTGGAGGTTTGAGCCCATCTAGCGGTGACTTGGAAGAAAGAACTGGGGTCCTACTTTCAAAAAAGCAACCATTGACAACCGTATGGAAGGTTGTTCTACTGTGACATACACAAGGTAAACTTGCATGAGTCTGACGGCAACGCGTGCAGAGTACCAGTTATATAGAGTAGTCAACAAGGCCTATTGGCAAAGTGGCATTTGAACAAAAACCCAAAGGAAATGAAGGCATGAATTATGCGGATATGGAGATCGGCACGAGACAGGGAAGCACATTCCAGGAAAGGGGGTTAGCAGTGCAATGGCATGGCTTGTTCAAGAATGGAACACTGAAGAGAGTGATGATGGATGAAGTCAGACAAATGACAAAGCATATCCCCACAGGATCTGGGACGATTGTTAGGGTTTCACGTTTGTTCTGAATGACATGGAAGCTATTCGTGATTTGAACAGAAAGCTGTCACAATCTGACCTACAGTTTCAGAGCATCATGTTGGCTGTTATGAGAATGTTGTGGTTTAGTAGTGTGCTGACAAGTTGATTCTGACTCATGGACATCCCATGTGACAGAGTAGAACTGCATGGTAGGGTTTCCTAGGTTGCAATCCTTACAGAAAAAGACTGACACGTTTTTATCCGATGGAGCCAGTGGTGGGCTCAAACAGCCAATGACTTGTTTAACCACCAAGCACTTAACCATTGGGCCAGGGCTCCTTATCATGAGATTAGACACCGAGACTAGGGTGAAGCAGTAAGTCCAGGGAAGTGGCTGCCACACGTTTCCTGTTGTTCTCCAAACCAAACTCACCGCCACTGAGTTAATGCTGGCTCTTAGGAAGCCCCTGTGGGATTCTGAGACTGTAACTGTTTACCAGAGTAGAAAGCTCAGTCTTTCTCCCAAGAGGCTGCTGGTGTTTTCGCACTGCCAACCAGGGAGATCACAGCCCAACGTGTAACCACTACACTACCACGGCTCTGTTCTGACTCATATTAACCCGGTGTACAGTAGAACGAAACACTGCCAGGTACTGTACGTTCTTTACAATTGTTGTCATGTTTGAGTCCATTGTTTTAGCTACTGCATCCCTTCATTCAGGGTCTTCCTCTTGTCCTCTGACCCTCTACTTTACCAAGAACACTGCCCTTCTCCAGGGAGTGTTCTCTATTGATAACATGTCCAGGGTACGCAGCACAAAGTCTCACCATCCTTGTTTCCAGTGAGCATTTTGGCTGTACTTCTTCCAAGAAAAATGTGTTTGTTCTTCTGACAAATACCTCTTTCAGTATTCTTTGACAACATCATACCTGAACTGACCACCGTGATAATGCAGACAAAAAAAGATAGTGACCTGAACCAAAATACAGCAGCGAGGTGTTGAGGAGTGTGATTTCCTTGATATAATTTGAAGGTGACAAGAGTTGTTGATAAGCTGAATATGGGACACGAAAGGGAAGGAATCTAGGAGAACTTTCGTGGGTGAGCACAAAGATGGAGTTGCGTTTACAGAAACTGATGTCTGCAGGAGAGCAGTGGAGGGCTACATTTCAGAGTTTGGTTTATTTTGAATCTGAATATGCTGAATCGCATTTGGTTAAGTAAGTTTAAGCTTTAGGAAGAAGTCAGGGCTGAAGCCAGAAGGTGGATATTATGAGGGCATAAATGACATTAAAGTTGGACAAGAGTCAAGATATAGGTTTATTTCTGGTGCTCAGCAAAATATCTGACACAGTAGCTGTGCAAGAAGTAGATTTTTGAGTAAATGAAAGAATGAATAATGCAGTTCAGATAAAAGGAAGCAAATTATTATGTAGAATATCAGAACTAAAAAAAAAGAATATCAGAACTAAGCTTAGGCATAGCCTGATGATACAAGTGATGTGATTAGAGAATAAAGGAATATTTTATCTCTCTGATGAATTAATTAAACAAGTCTCTGTTCCAAATAGTCTAAAAACCCACTGATGTTGAGTCAAGCCCAGCCCATAGCAACTTTATAGGACTGCTCCAGGGGGTTTCTGAGACCATAAATGTTTGCAGGAGCAGATAGATAGCTCTATCTCTCTCCCAAAGAGTGGCTGGTGAGTTTGAACAGCCAACCTCAAGGTTAGTAGTCCAATGGTTAACCCTCTGTACCAACCAGGCTCCTTAAATAGTTAGTACTACTCCCCATTTCTGCTTCTCTGTGTGCCTGTAGACCTCTACATGCTAATTACAGAATATATGCTACATAATTTTTATAGTTATAAAAGAACACCAAATTAAATATGATTCTTGTTTTCTATTATTCCACCCCCTTTCCTTCCAGGCCTTAAAGAATGCCCCAGTAGTGTCTGAAATAACCTTTTACTTCTTTATCCATGAGTCTCTAGAATGTGGTCCTATTGGGAAGAGATTCTGATAAAACCTTAAGAATTTTTTTAACTCCTAAATTTCCCTAGATCATTTGAGGAAATACAACATTTTCCCCAGCTTGCGCTTTAGGGGAAAAACACCTAAATAACTGGCAGATTGTGCGTTGAACTCTAAAGGGAGCCCTGGTGGCACAGTGTTTCGAGTTGGGCTGCTAACCTCAGACTCAGTAGTCTGAGCTGGTCCTTGTGGAAAAAAATCAAGGCTTTCTACTCCCCTGAAGAGCTACAGTATGGGAAACCCACACGCGCAGCCCTATCCTGTGGTCACTATGAGTCGGAATCAACTTGATGACAATGAGAAGGGACTTTCCTACAACTGCGACCCTTCTGGAAACTAGAGAAACCCCAAAACTAAGCTTGTCTCAGAACCACACCATCTAAAAACGCTCTGTTGAAGAAACCCCTAATTGTGCCAGAGATACTTAGGCAGGAGAAATTTGGAATGACCACGCAATGTATGCAGTGTGCTAGCCGAACCGAGGAAAACAGCCGTTCTCTCCAGCCTTCAAGGGTATGTCACTGTTGGCCGAGACTACTTAGTGACCACGGGAGAGGACCCTTTCATGACAGCTAAAAAGAGAATAAAGAGAAGACCAACACAGAGAGCCTTCAGCCACCGGGGCACGGAGGAGGGAGGCTGGCTGAGGACGCGCGTCCTCATGGGCTTGATGATCCGCTCTCTCTGGGTCAGGATGGCTCCCCGGGCCCCGGCCCATTTCCCGGGACCCCGCAGGCGGTATTGGTAAGGGGTGCAGGGGCCAAAGAAAACCTCCATGGCCAGCTTTGGGTCTGAGAGGAAGAGCGAGAGAAGGTTGGGCTTCACTCCGATTTCCGAGGCGATCTCATCCATGTAATCCACATACTGCACTCTGCGCGTGTCTCGGGGATTAGTCAGGAATCTGCAACCGGACGGAGACAAATCAGAAACCTCCAGAGAGGTGGCCATCGCTAACCCTTTAGACACTCGCCCTGCCTCTGAATATTGTGGGCAAAAGAGTTAAGTGCTTGACTAGTAACCCAAACGCTGGTGGTTTGAATGCCGCCATGGGCAATTCTGCAGAAGGAGCGAGCAGATCCCCTGGTGCTGAAAGATTACAGCCCTGTAATGAAGACCACTCTTTTTTGCCTTGTATTTGGCTCTCATTGAAAACATAAGTTCCTTGTGGTAAATCAGTGGTGAGAGAAGTATGATATGTGAATTTCACAGGCTATTATGAGACTATATTCCATTTCCCAGCTTTGGATATGTGTGAAATTAATTTGATTATAATATTTTTGAGATGCAATATTTTAACCAAACTTACTGAATAACTGACTAGTCTTAGATCGCTAACTCTTTGATCTTAGGAAACATGCTGAGACATCCACATTGTGGATTCTCAACAGATACTTGTTTAATAGAAATAAATTACATTCCTAATCCCAATGTTTGAGAATAATTTTTCTCTAAGAAGATTTGGCACAACCTGCAAGCTTCTGACCTCAAGTCAAGAATTTAATCAGGTTCTATAGTGATTTGCCAATGCATTTCTCACACTGATTTATCTTTACAACTCTTTGAGAGAATGAAATAACCCATTTCATCTTTAATTTCCACATGCTTCACATCTCTAAGGGTATGACAGGACAATTTAGAACTGTAGGCGCTACCTGGCTTTTCCTGGACTTTCAACAATGGTTGTGATGTCTCAATGGTGGCCCATTCTGCATTCATTCTAGCCCGTAAATATTTCCTACATAATATGCTTAGCTGAGAAGAAAAGAAAAATTGAAAATTCGAGATCTCATCTAGGCAAATAGACCCATGTTCTGTGGTGAGGAAATATGAAGAATACTTGGTAACAAGCACCACCCAAATGCTTTCAATAGACGTGTACCAAGAAATACGTTTCTTACTGTTTCTCGTTTTTTTTCCTCTTCTTTGTTATGTCTGCCACCATGTCACTCACTGAAGGTAGTTTGTTTAGCCCTAGGACAAAAATTGCGAACATAAATGTGATTTTCTTACTGGGAGGATGCAGTTTTAGGAAGAAATGGATATCCTGAGACTCAGTTTGGTAGAGAACAATATGAAGGTGATAACGCAGGACTGGGAGAGATGGACCTGTGTTCTGGAATGCCTTCCCCTCTAGTTTTATTAGGCGCACATGCCAGACAGATGTAAGAGCACGTCCTTGTTACATGACTCAGTACTCTATAGTCTTACTTGCAAATCCCCAAGTTAATTAGCACAAGTACAAGCTAAAAAGAGTAAGATCCAACTGATAGTGCATAAATTAAAATGTATATAGTTCCACTTGGGAGTCCCTGGATGGTACAAATGGTTATCACATTCTCTTGGAAAGGCTGGAGGTTGTTACACAGCCAGAAGAGCCTTGGAAGAAAAGTCTGCTATTCTACATTTGTGAAAAATCAACAAGTGAAAGCTCTATGGAACATAATTATACTCTGACACATAGGAGTTTGCCATGAATTCGTGTTGTCTCTGGATCCTGTCTATTTTTCCATAGTCTAATGAACCGGGTACTCATTTTGGCTCTTCCTTAGACAGTGAGTGTGCTGTTGTTGTTAGGGGCCATCAGTTTGGTTCTGATTCATAGAAACCCCAGGTACAACAGAACTACATTCTGCTGGTCCTTTGCCACCCTCACAGTTTTTATATTTGAGTCAATTGTTGCAGCCATGGGATCAATCCATCTCATTGAAGGCCTTCCTCTTTTTTGCTGGCTCTCTATTTACCCACTTTATCTTTTTACCAACATGATATCCTTCTTCAGGGACTAGTCCCTCCTGATAACATGTCCAAAGTACATGAAATAAAGTCTCTCCCTCCTTACTTCTAGGAAGCATTCTGGCTGATTTTTTGCAAGACAGATTTGTGTGTTTTTCTGGCCCCCCAATATCCCCACTTCATTGCCATCAAGTCAATTTTGACTCATAGTACCTTATAGGGCAGAATAGGATGGCTCTTTGGGTTTTCAGGACTGTGAATCTTTATGAAAGTAAAAAAGCCTCATCTTTCTCCTGAGGCATTGATATCTGCTGGTTTGGAACTGTTGATCTTGCGGTTAGCAGTTCAACTTGCAGCACACTACACCAAGTGATCCTTGTTCTTCTGACTGTTGCTGGTTATTTCAGTGTCTTCTACCAATGCCATCATTCAAATGGATGAATTCTTCTGCAGTCTGCCTTATTCATTGCCAACTTTCACATGCACGCGAAGTGATTGCAAATACCATCACTTGGGTCAGGTATAGCTCAGTCCTCACAGAGACATCTTTGTTCATTAAAGAGGTCTTGTGCAACCAGCCTGTGTGATCATGAGGTGTCTATGGGATCAGGTATCAGGCATAAAAGATCCAGAACAAAACATCATATCAATGTGAGTGAGGGGAGTGGAGTGGAGGCCTAAAGTCCATCTGTAGATAATTAGACATCAACTTACAAGGTCACAAGGAAGAGATGAGCCAGTCAGGATTCAGTACAGCACCGATGAAACATACTACTTTCTTCTAGTTCTGTAATTCCCTTCCCATTGTCATGACCTCAATTCTACCTTACAAATCTGGCTAGACCAGAGCATGTACACTGGTACAGATAAGAGCTGGAAACACAGGGAATCCAGGACAGATAAGCCCCTCAGGACTAAAAATGAGAGTAGCGATACCAGAAGGGTAAGGGTAAGGTGGGGGGGGGGGAACCTATCACAATGATCGACAGAAAACTCCTTCCCAGGGGATGGACAACAGAAAAGTGGGTGAAGAGAGGCAGCAGTGGGTAAAATAATAATTTATAAACTATCTAGGACTAAGGATGGCGTGAGGGGGGGGTGAAGGAAAATGAGCTGATACCAAGGGCTCAAATAGAAAGAAAATGCTTTGAAAATGATGACAACAAATGTACAAATGTGCTTGACACAATGTATGTATGTATTATGATAAGAACTGTAAGAGCCTCCAATAAAACGAACTAAAAAAATAAAAAGAGGTCTTATGCATCAGGTTTGCTTTGTGTATCATGATGTTGTCTATTGGCCTTTTGTGAGAATTTTTTTTTTCTTAACCCTGAGTTGTAACTCATACTGAAGTCTGTGTACTTCGATCTTTATTAGTAAATGTTTCAACTTTTCTTCATTTTCACCAAGCAAGGTTGTGTCTTCTGCATATTGTCAGGTTCTTCCAAAGCTGATGCCGCAGCCTTCTTCATCTACTTCAGTGTCTTCGATTAAATATTTAGCACACAGATTGAGTAAGCATGGTGACAGGAGCCAACCAAGATGCATACCTTTCCTGATGTTAAGCCATTCAATATATATCCTTGTTATGTTTGAACTACTGCCTCTTGCTCTATTTACACGTCCCCCATGAGCACAATGAAGTCTTTTGGAATTGTCTTTCTTCGAAGTGTTACCTATAGTTTGTTATGACACACACAGTTGCATGCTTTTGAAAACTCAATAAAATGCTGGTATTTGAAATACCAGTAGCATACTTTCCAGCATTACAACAACATACAAGCCACCACCATATGACAAACTGACAAAACAGTGGTCAATTTACATTATAGATTAATTTTAAAAATATATAATTGTAGGTACTAATGACATGTAATATATTCTGATTGATTTCATTGAACTGAGATTTATTTAAAAATTTATCCTTAACTCATAGAAACCATTTCCCTACTCTTCATTGTGCTTATGATAAATGACATACCACATTTTGAGAAGCATAGAACATTTCAGGGGGATATGAGAAGCTTTGAAAATGAATGAGCATAATTATTAAAAGGTGATATGCATTATTTTGTAAAGGTAGGTATTAAATCTGCCCGTCCTGACTTCATCACACTGGAACAAAACACTGAGGGCATGCAACAGAGCAGCAAGGGGAGCAAAGTGATGAAGTTCCCAGGGAATACCAAAAATAGACTTTGGAGACAGAGTGTGGCACCCCATCAGATTCGACTGGAAAACACTCATAAAGGCCAATAAACAGACCTTGAACTATTTATAGGCTTTTGTATTTTTGTCAGTGGCTTTCTTTTTGTTGTTATTTTGTTGTTGTTGTTATTGTTTTGTTGGTTTTGCCTTCCTTTGTTGTTTTGTTTGACTTTGCCTGGTTTTTGTGCTTATTAATGTCTCTACATGTCTATCTAGATAAGATTGGTGGAATAAACAATTCAAAGATGATAAGAACAGGACGGATGGTTCCGAGGGATATGGGAGGAAAGGAGGTGGGAGAAAGGAGGGGGTGGGAACCAACCCAGGGACAAAGGAACTACAAGTAAACTAAAATCAATGGAGAAAAGAGCGTAGGATGCCTAGTGGGGCTTAATCAAGGGCAATGTAGCGTTGAGAACTTACTAAACCTGAATGAAGGCCGAACATGATGGTGGGACAAGAGGAAAGTAAAAGGAAATAGGAAAGAACTAGGAGGCAAAAGATATTTATAGGGCTCTAAATACAGGTATGTACATATGCAAATATATTTAGATATAACAAGAGGGGACTAGAACTATGTCCTTATATCTATATGTCAAGAATTAAGGTTGCAGATGGACATTGGGCTTTGACTAAAATACTCCCTCAACACAAGAACACTTTGTTCTAACAATCCAACGTTCTGTGATGCTCACCTTCCTAACATGATCGCTGAAGACAAAATGGGTGCATAAGCAAATGTGGTGAAGAAAGCTGATGGTGCCCAGCTATCCAAAGATATAGCATCTGGGGGTCTTAAAGGCTTGAAGATAAAGACGCGGCCATCTAGCTGAGAAGCAACAAAGCCCACATGGAAGAAACACACCAGCCTGTGTGATCATGAAGTGTGGATGGGATCAGGTATCAGGCATCTAAGATCCAGAACAAAATCATGCCCAATGTGAATTGGGGGGGTTGGGCATGGAGTGGAGACCCAATGCTCATCTGTAAACAATTGGACATCCCCTCACAGAAGGGTCACAGGGAAGAGATGAGTCCATCAGAGTGCACTATAGCACTGATGAAACACAACTTTCCTCTAGTTCCTTGGTGCTTCCTTCCCCCCACTACCGTGGCCTTAATTCTACCTTACAAATAGGATTAGACCAGAACATGCACACTGCTACAGAAAAGAACCTGCAACACAGGGAATCCAGGATAAATAAACCCCTCAGGGCCAACAAGGAGAGGAGAGATACCAGGAGGATTAGGGGAGAGTGCGGGGAGAAAGGGAAATTGATCATAATGATCAATCTATAACCCCCTCCCAGGGGGATGAACAACAGAAAAGTGGGCGAGGGGTGATGGAGGATGATGTAAGATATGAAATAATAATCTATAACTTATCAAGGGTTTGTGAAGGAGGGAGGGTGCCAGAGGGAGGGGGAAGAAATGGGGAGCTGACATCAGGGGCTCAAGTGGGAAAAGAATGTTTTGAAAATGATGATGGCAGCATATGTGCAAATGTGCTTGACACAATGGACGAATGTATGGATTGTGATAAGAGATGCAAGATCCCCCAATAAAAGTATTTAATAAAAAACAAAACAAAAAGGAAAAATCCTGGACCTTGTAATTTACAAAGGTAATGATCACACACTTTGGTGAAGAGCCATCTGAGGTACAACCACTGGTCTCACTGTCCAGAGGACAGGTGTGGAGGGCTGAGACGCATGGAAACATGGGTTCAGTGAGCTAAGAATCAACCTCACAAATATTTCTGAGATGGTTAGATGACTCCCTGCAACTAGGAGTTCAAGTGGGAAGAGAAGGCTTTGAAAATGTTGATGGCAGCATATGTGCAAATGTGCTTGGCACAATGGATGAATGTATGGACTGTAAAAGAAATGTAAGACCCCTCCCCCAATAAAAGTATCTAATAGTAAATAAATAAGTAAATCTGCCCAGATCAAATTATGTTTCTCCTTAGAATTAATGATAATAAAAATTACAACAGTAATTACTAATTTTTTATATATCCAATCAATATTTACTAAATGCCTATACTAGTCAACATGCTTATTAATTTTGGGCTGTGATCTATAGGATCAGTGGTTTGAAACCACCAGCGGTTCCTTGGAAGAAAGATGGGGTTTTATACTCCCATGCAAGTTAGACTTGGAAACCCACAGAGGCAGTGTGACCCTGTCCTCAAGGGCTACTAAGAGTCGGCAGCAACCCAATAGCAGCAAGTTTGAGGTTTGCTTTGCAAAACAGAGATAAATATCCTTGTACTTATTATAAACGAGGAAGTTGAGACTTGTGGATCTCAAGTAACATGCAAGGTCTTACAGTCAATTGATGGCGGAGCTGGATTTTAACCTTGCGTTTATGTGATTGTAAAGTTCTTGTTATTGCTCTGTGGTGCTTTCCCCCTTACTCTATGTCCCTGCCATCAATCACCTCTTTGTCCTCTTGATATTTTGAACAGAGCATTTGAAAAACAGGTAAAATCAAAAATGCTTCCTTTGACTTTGAATGGCACTGGAAATATTGGGAAGTAGAATAACTATTATTTCCTATTTAGGCTTTAGGTGGCTATCTCCTGCCCCATTTCTTATGTTACATGGTGGGGGCCAAGGAGAGGGTCTTAAAAACGTGTGTTTAAAAATCCTATGATCTCCATAGTGCTCAAGTGAACTCTTTGCCAATAAGATGCCACCAGATGATAGCTTTAGGTAGCAATTTCCTATTTTAACTTTCATACGGGAATCTTCATGATTAAATAGCTCTAAAACACCAAATGAATAACAAATGGCCGAAACAGATAGTATAAAGGTTAAGTGCTGAGCTGTTTTTCTGCAGAAGATTTTCAACGGCACTGAAATCACATCAGCTGTTGGGCACATACCCTTGAATACACGTGCAGCCCATCGGCTCTGGAGTTCTGATGTGGGAATGGTGGCTCCTACGGGCTGGAGGATGCCGATGAAAGCGAGTGTTGGCTTCTCCAGATGAGGCGGGAAGACATATTTAAACATGGAGCTATGGCTGTCCAGAATTGTTGAATTTCTTTCCAAAAAAGGAAAAGAAAAAGTGTATCCTGTGGCAAAGATGATAACATCGATATCTTCTTCTGTGTCATCTTCAAAGATGGCGGATGTCTCAGTAAATTCTTTCACATTTGGTTTCATCAAAACCCTTCCGGAAATTATGCGGTTGGGTAGATCATCGCTGATAGTAGCTTGATGGCTCAGAAATCTGCAGAATGAAAATGGACATCCAGGAAAATTCCTATAAAGAGCGCAAACTCAAATAGAGCACAGTGGTGAGAGTGGGAGCTCAACAGGACAGCCTTGGACAATATTCCATTTTCCCTCTCTGATAAGTTTTTGCCTGACACAGGCTTCCTCTCACTAGTTTCACTGTAATGATTTGGAAAGGAGTTGAGCTAATATTTAATGAAAGAACCGCATTCTGAACAAAAGAATGGTGATCATAGTAGGAACTAAAAAATATTGAGTTTACTTATCCGTACCACCAGCTATTCTACAGGAAAAAGACAGGGCTTCTGATCTGGAGCCTCATTTTCTCTCTTTCTACATTACTCGTTCCTAAGCCAGAGTGAGAGGTGGGAAGAAGTATGTGTGTGTATATGCGTATAAACAGGAAAATACCAGAGGTGCCTGTTCAAGCTTCACCATCCTCTATCCTCTCAATCCTGACCACTACACCTTCCCTCCCTGAGATTCTGATATGTATATTCCCAGGGCTGAGACTCTCTCCAAGATGAATGCTTTGGATTCAGAGTTATTTTGCCTGATGCCTGCTATATATCTGCACTGAGGTTCCTCTCACATTTATATCCCAGACACAATCTTCTGAAACTTGAGCCACCAGCCACCTTTTTAATAATCTTTACTCAGTCATTCAACTAGAACTGGGTGTGAGTAAACAGTAGCATAAAATGACCAAAACGTTAAACATTTACCACGTGTTGGGCACTAGTATAAGCTCTAAATATATTTTCCTATTTATTGTTCAGAACAACTCTTTGAATTGATACTAAAGTTATCTCAATTTTATCAATATGGGAGGTGGTACAAAGGGGAAAATTCAACAGTATCTACTTTGGCAAGTTTTACTCTGTCCTATTGTATCTCTATATGAGTTAAAATCAACTTGATGGTAGTGAGTAGTGGTAAATTTAGGACTCAAATCCCAGCTGTCTAGATGCAGAGCACAAACCCAACCTTAGGCTCTGCAGCTTTTTCTCTAACAGAAAAGAGGCAAAGAAAGCATGCTTTGTATTTCAAAAGACACTCTTTCCTCCACCCTACAAGTCTCTTATCTTATTGCATTACATTACCAAATCCCTGATTGTTTTCCACTACCCTGGGAAAATGAAGTTGAGTTTTATGGTATAATATATCATTACATATTTGTTTTTGTCCACCTTATGAAACACAGTATAAAGGTGAAGTTCTGTTTTCTTTTGTTGCTTGGTTTTGCTCTGTCTTGGTTTTGTGCATGTTATCATCTCCGCAGGTCTGTCTAAATAAGATAGGGTGGATGAACAATCTGGAGGAGAAACCAACGGGACTGACAGTTCCTGGTGGACATGGGAGAGGGGGTGGTTGGGGGAAAGGAAGTAGTGTTAACAAACCCAGGGACAAGGGAACAACAAGTGATCCGAATTGGTGGTGAGGAGGGTATAGGAGGCCTAGTAGGGCGTGATCAAGGATAATGTAACCGAGAGGAATTACTGAAACCCAAATGAAGGCTGAGCAT